TGGTTCATATTCCAACAGTATCACAAACTATTGAGGATGATGTAACCTGCGAAGATCGAATAGAGGACATGCTTTGTGATGTGGGTCAAGAGAGGTTTCTTGAAGCACATGCATCTATATATGATACATTGAGGACCGATTCAGAGACACCTTTGTATCCCGGATGTGCAACTTTCACACGGTTGTCATCTGTGTTAAGATTGGTCAATCTAAAAGCCAAATTTGGTTGGAGTGATACAAGTTTTAATGAATTACTCTAACTTTTGAAGGAGATGCTCCCAGACAATAACACCTTGCCGGACCGTATGTATGAAGCGAAGAAGATACTATGTCCGATGGGTTTAGAATATAGGAAGATACATGCTTGCCCTAATGATTGTGTGTTATATAGGAAAGAATTCTCATCTTTAGACCAATGTCCAACATGTGGTGTATCACGTTACAAAGCGAAGGATGGTGATGATTGTAGTCAGGAGAGTGGTAAAAAACGTCCTCCTGCAAAAGTTTTATGGTATCTTCCAATACTGGTGTCCAAAGAGACCAAATGGGATTTACTTTGATTGATATAAACAAGATTGGTCATAAGGAAGAACCCTTCATAATGGCATACCAGGCAAAACAAGTGTTTTATGTCACTGATCCATCAAATGATAGGTGGTCAGTTGTCCTCAAAGGAAAAATGATTGATGTCACAAATGAGAATGGAGAAGAATTAGATGATTTTATTAACATTCAAAGTTCACCACGGTTGCCTATTGCTATATCCCAATTGGAAGAGGACTTTGTTCATGCTACTCGCAATGACCATGATGAAGGCATATGGGAAAATATTAATACAATCTAAGTTATGTTTCTATTTATTTATTTTTTTAACATGTAATTGAGGAGACTTTGCATGTGTATTGATATAATTCTATGTTTTTTTCATTACAGGTAAATGGCATATCCTCCACCATCTCCTCCACCATCTCCTCGGGCATCCGGAAAGACATTTTCCGAGTAAGAGGAGTCGACAATCTACACGGTTGAAAGGCTTGACCGTTAGACACATATCCGGCCGGAAGTTATCCGTTTCGTTGATCCTAGGACTGGCAAGGTGTCGGGTCCCTTCAGTACCCAATTTAGAAGCTACTTGGGTACACTAGCTAGAGAGAAGGTATTTATTCTATTTCAAAGTTAATTTCATTTCAAATATATTGTTGATATTTATGTTGTTTATGTTGTGTAGATATCTATTCTCCATCCTACTTGGGATCATGTGGAGGAAGCTGTGAAGAACTTGTTATGGCAAGATCTTCTTGTAAGTATGTGTATTTAGTTGTTTATATTGTTTATACATTATTATCAATTGATTAACTAAAACTTGTTTGCTACTGTAGGAACACTTTGATTTAGTTAATTCGAGGATGTGAGGAGGAAGATAATGACGACCATAGCAAAAATGTGGAGACAGTTCAAGTCCACATTGACCACTAAATGGGTGTATGCTTGAGGACAAAGTTAGCAAGAGATTAACCCCTTGCCAAAGATATGGCATAGATGAGGACACTTGGAAGAAGTTTGTACATAGTAGGACTGGTTACGAGTGGGAGGTAATAGCTTATGGCTTAATTGACTTGAATATTTCATAATGAGTTGTGTATCTAATATTGTGTTCAATTATGTTGCGGGAAAGAAGACAAAAAGCAAAAGACATTCGGAGGAAGAATGTCGCCCCCACCTTCCGTCTCGTGGGGGTACGACTTATTGACTCGAGAAGATGATGGAGGAGAAGAGTAGACTTCAACGGTCGGAGTTAGCCTCTTCGGTTTAAGCGAAGAGCAGATTCCTCCACCATCTCCTCCAAAACGTCACCGGAAGTGGAAGAGGGCGCGCACAAAGCCTTCCGGTGACATGACGTCGCCTGAAGCCCGAGAAATTGCTGCTCAGATTGTAAGTAAAAGAAGTTAATTTAGTTTGAATTAGTTATATGTAACATGTTCATTAATAAAATTAACTTTTATAATGTAGGATGCCTTGGAGGAGCGAGTGTACACGGGGAACTTTCATCCCTTCGGTCGTCGGGATATCTTGACCACTTGCTATTGGACGACGAGAACATCCGGGTCGTGTTCGAGCTGTTGGCCAAGGTGTGGGTGTCCGACATTATTTTGGACCGAGCATCACGGGATATCCGCACCTCCACATCCCCGAGCCAAGAAGATATTGCTCGCCTTGGAGATGGCTCTCACGAGAGAAATTGACACCAGCCATCGAGGCAAAATTGGAGGAAGAGTTGACTCCCGCCATCGGCGCACGACTTGAGGAGACGATCATCGCACGTGTGCGGGAGCGATTCTTGCGTATGTCCTCCATGGGTACTTCATTTCCGATGCTCATCCTCCATCGAGTGCATTTTCAACCACAAATTGGATTGGTACTTGACTTGTGTTTCTAAAATCTTAGTCCTTATTGGAATTTACTCGTATTTGTAGGTCCAAGAGTTAGCACAAAGGGCAGTTGTGCTTGAAGCCACTATCGAGGTCACACCCGAGGTGGCATCTATTCATCCCGAATCCACAAAGGATGATCGATATGGCTTGTGGGTTGAGGTAGATGAAGGTCTAAGGCTAGTGGCCCATGGATCAGTTCATGAAGGGGCTTCAACCATCCACAATGTGCCTTTGGATCCTAACTTGGTCAAAGTAGTGGTTGAAAAGGTGGTTGACGCTGCGGCTAGTGTCCCTATCCCCACCGAAGAGGTGCGGACGGTGGGTCAAGCCCTTCGAGACCTTCATTAGTTGGCCCCGACATTTAGTTAGGTCAATCATGGCAAAGGTATGTATATGTATGGTTATAATACATCTAACACATAAATAAATTGATTTATTGTTTATGATTATATTTTATAAAATATGTAGGATGTTCGGCGACCAAAAGACTTGGGTAAAGCTATTGCCACTCCTTCGCATCTAAGGAGAAGACACCGGTTGTGGAGACTTCTCCAAATCCTATTTTTGATCTCTTGTCTCTTTCCCCACAATTATATATGCAGTCATTCCAAGTTCCATGGGATTGTACATTATTTGGGATGGCTTCTAGCAATATCCCCCTCTACATTTCCCACACCGATGCCCTGGAGATTGGGATGGGCAATCAATGTCTAAATATAGTCGTTTTACAATTTTGGACATTGTAAGTTCATATCTTTCATGACTCTTTTCATTTTAGTAAATATATAAGCTATAAGTTCACTTAAATTGGCATATTTTAGGATGATGCACGAAATGATAGTGGAGCAGGGCATTGGTCACGTGTATGGATTCTTCGAGCCTCAATCCATACAAAAGTGCGGGAATAAGCGTGATCAAATTGTCGGTTACATCCAGAATTGGATGACTTGTCTCTAAAAGAGATATTTACCTTGGAGCATACCATCATTCGTAAGTTATCCCGGCCTCTTCCGGTTTTACACAAGTTTTTTTAATAGATTCTAATCATGTGTATATACAGAAACCACTCGGCAGTTATTAGTTATTTGTCCAAAGCGAGAATCTTGTGTGTTGGTTCTGCTCATTGGGAAGAAAACCGGACATGGAGCTAAAAAATATTGTAAACGAGTAAGTATTTATTATATTATGTCTAAACATCTTGATTATTCTATTTCTAATCCCCTTATTTTCAATATATAGTGCTTTAAAGGTTTGTAGTACATTAGATGGAAAACACACAAGTAAAAGCACGACTCCAAATTGGAATTTTATGAAAGTAAGTAACCTTTATATATATTATACTATCTATTAATTTACGTTCAAATTTAATAGTTATTTTTAATATATATACTCATTTTTAGTGTAACAAACAAAATGGAGGCTACGAGTGCGGCTACTATGTAATGTATTGGATATGGCTCATCATTTTTTGTTGCATTCGGGATAGTTGGGACGAGGTAAGTTGACATTTGCTATTATATTCAATTCCTTTATTTTTATTGCTTAGGGTTTACCATTCTATTATTGTGAACTTCTTACGGGCATTTAAAGATATAGAACCTTTGCCTATGGATACAATAGACATGGTTAGAAACAAATGGGCGAAAGGTTTGTGCAAGTAGTTAGGAATAATAGGATTGATTGATAATTTTTGTGTATTATGTACATAATGTGGTTGGATCTGAGATTGTAAGTGTATTGTGTAAATATATAGTGATTATGTGAATCTGGTTGAGATTGTGTATTGTGTATATATTATGTATTGTGTAAATCATGGTTGGACTGAGATTTATATAGCGAGTCGTGTATGGTAGCACAAAAACGGACCAAAATTTAAAAAAAAATGGATATTCTACGTCGATTATTGCATTAACCGAGCGTTGAAACGTCTTTCGCTTGAGCGAAACGTCGGTCGCGTGAGCGAAACGACACCGAGCGCCCCCTTTGTTTGAAGGCTTCGTCGCTCAAGCGAGTACACTGATCGCTTGAGCGATAAAGGACTTTCAACGTCGGTTATCCAATAAGCGACGTAGAATTTACTCATTTCTACGTCGCCTTTGCATTAACCGACGTTGTGACGTCGGTCGCTTGAGCGAAACAGCAACCGAGGGTCCCTTTGGTTTGAAGGCTTCATCGCTCAAGCGAGTACACGGGTCACTTGAGCGACTTCAACGTCGGTTAGTTCAATAACCGATGTAGATGTCTACCATTTTCAACGTCGGGTATGATGAACCGACGTAGAATCCTTTGACATTCAACGACGCCTGATTCAACGACGTCATTGGAACCGACGTTGAAAGCCTTCTACACCCGACGTTGAATGCTCCTTCAGTAGTGATAGATTAACTAGAAACTATGGCTCAGAAACATGTATAATTTCTCCAGTAAATACATATATCTGGTGGTTAATACTCTTTTCATTTCTTACTGATTTTGATAAACAAACACTAACCAAAACAATATTTTATCATAATCATTATTAGGGCCATTATAATTCATAAGATAAGGTGATAATTTTGATAACACTAATTATCGTGCTATTTGATTTCCAAGCTCAGGGAACATGCCGTGCACCAAGGCTTGTTCCTCCTCCTTGCATATCGTAGCCTTACTGCTGCTAGAAGCAAAGTTGTCGTCAAATTCACCATGACGTTCCATTTGGGTCAAGCCGATTTCCCTTTCACCTTGCGTATAACACAGTTGCAAATTCAAGGCATACTTCAACCCCTTCACCACGTCTCTCATCAAAGGCCGATCGTTCCCATGATCATTCAAACAACTCAGCGCAATCTCTAGGAACTTCTTCAAACACTTGGGTCGTAAAGTATCTTTCAAAACAGGATCCACAATCTCATCCACATTCCCATCATGAAAACACCGCTTCACCCACAATACCAAGAATTCTCGCTGCTTCTGCTTCTCCACCTTACTTTCTATGGGTGGCCTTCCACACAATACCTCAAGTAAAACTACACCAAAAGAGTAGACATCGGATTTCTGAGTCAACCAAAGACTCATGTAATACTCAGGATCTAAATATCCGATACTACCTTTCACTTCAGTTGTCACGTGGGATGCATTAGGTCCTACTTTCGACAAACCAAAATCCGACACCTTGGCCACCCAATCCTTGTCCAGCAAGATGTTCGTGCTTTTCACATCGCGGTGGATGATGCTCTGCTGGTCCGACCCATTGTGGAGGAAGTCAAGCCCACATGCTGCCTCCAGGCAGATCTTCAGCCGCCGCTCCCACGACAGCGCCTGCTCCGAGCCGTACAAGTGGTCGCGGAGGGTCCCACGCTCCATGAAATCATAGACGAGGATCATTTCTCCACCGTCGTTGCAGTACCCAATGAGGGAAACCAAGTGCGCGTGGCGGAACCGCGAGAGCATCCTGATCTCGGTTTGGAATTCGTGCGCGCCCTGGTCCGAACCCGGCTTGAGTCGCTTGATGGCCACTGGTTCGTGACACGTGTCGATTTGTCCTTTGTACACGTTTCCGAACCCTCCTCTGCCCACGATTAATCGCTCGTCGAAGTTGTTGGTGGCGGCTCTTATCTCCGCGAAAGAAAACTCGCGACAGCGCGTGCTTGAAAGCTCCGGGTCGCTACCCCTGGTCTTAACTCTTCTTACGCATTGGAAGATTAAGAATCCTATTAAGAACGATACTAGAAATAACGACGCAGCCACAACAGAGGCTAATATTGTAGTTTTCATGTTTTTTTGTTTGATGGTTTGGGCGGTAGATGTTTGGATGATGAGGGAGGTTGTGCCCAACGTTGATTCTGCTTACTGTCTTCAAAGCCGTGCTTTGACTTGTACCGTTGGTGAGAGTTTGCTAAAGATCGTTGGGCATGGACATGACTTTGATGCCATTAATGAAGGCGTAGGCTTTGAGATGAGCGGTGGAGCTAGGTGTGAAGGTTATGTTTAAGATGTGGTTATAGGGTTCAACGTTGATGTAGTATTCTTTTGCGAAGGTTCCAGTGGGATAGGTATGGTTAAGGTTGTCTACATGGAGTGGTGGGTTGAAGTTGCTTAGGATCTGTGGTGGTTGTTAGTTTTGAGGGAGAAGAGAGCGTGGTGTGGAGGAGTGTAAGAGGTAGCGTGGAGAAGGAGACAGTGTTGGAGTGATGGCAAAATAAGGAAAGAGGTCACGCAGGTTTAGTTTTTAGGTTGTTGTTGACCATAGCGTCTTGCTTTCTATTACATTATTTTATCTAACATATTAATTTTATTAAACAATAGTTTCTTTTGTAATATATTTTTTTATTATCTAAAAAAACATTAAAACTAAAATATTTATTAAAATATGTAATGTAATGAAGTAATGTAAGTGGAAAGGTCATGGTTTTGATTTTAAGAAATTATATTGTAAAAACAGCATAATTTTATTTAGTGTGATTATTAATTTTTGTTTTATTAAATAATTAAAAGATCTTTTTATATATGGGTTGTTTCTCAACTTTTTCTTATTGTATAAGTTAATCTATTTATATATATACTTTTCTTTTTCTTTTCTTTTTTTCTCCTCCAAGTCTTTTTTTTAAGCTCGATATTACCTTAATTATTTTTTAATAATACATTTCGTGTAAACACTTAATTAAGAGAAGTACTATAACTCAATATGTAAGTTTTTTTTTACCATGAGTAAAAATTATTATACAATATACAAAATGATGACAGCCTTTTCAAAAAAAAAAAAAACAATATTCCTATTGCGAAAAAACAAGAAAAATAATAGTTAAATTCTTTTCCAAATATTTTACCCAAAAGTTTTGAAATCAGTAAAGTTCCTTTGTGTTAAGAATTCTAACTTGTTTTAGAAATTCTATTTACCGGGAAAAGGTTCTTTTGTTGGGGCCTCACCTAGACCAAACTTATGGCCTGATGAGTCATCTTGATAAACAAAAAGAATATTTCTATATTAGATATTATAAAGATGAGTTGATTAAGTTAGAAACTCTTTTAATTCACGGATAGTTCCTTACATGGTTTCGTTAACAAAAATTAGTTATTGTTTTTTCAAACATTAAAAATAAGAAATTGTTTATTTCCAACTTGTGATAAAAATTGTGACAATATTAACTTGTTCACCCTATCAAATATGGAAATTTTTTATTTTCAGCCTATAATAGAAATTGTGGCCATACGAGGGGATTCATCTTCTAATTGCTAAATTCCTTGACACTTGATAGACTTCCCATATTGATGAATTAATATAAATCCCAAAATTTGCCTTATTTTAAAAGTGTATTCGAATTTGATTATACATTGAATAAATATGGTAAAAAAAAAAAAAAGACAAACTTAATTTTGTAACTTAAATTCAAATGATAGAAAATGTCAAATGATATTTTTCACAAAACTATTATTAAATAAAAACCTTATATACAACTTAAAGTTAAATAAAATAAATTAAGGTAAAAGAGAAATACTAGAGAAAAATTGGGGTTTTATCAATGCACAAAATTTGTCAAAATATTATCAATGGATTACCAATAGAGAAAAAAATTTGTCAATAATTATGTTTTCAGTAAATTTTACTAGTCCTTTGATATTTACTGATAGATTTAATAATTTTATTGATAATCACCAATAGATAAGTTAATGGGAAATTATTGTGAGAAAATTGATGATAATTATCAATAGATTCATGCTCTTGGATAATTATTGAAGGATTTATCTGCCAGTAAGTGTATGCGATAAGTGATGTCTACTGTGGTAAATATACTCGTCCATGATAATTAATGGATAAATATGTGAATAATTATCTTTATTGTATCTCATAACCACATTTCTAGATGAATATATATATTTTGGTCGATTTCCCGCATTCAAATCGTGGTCTAAAATTTATCCATGTATACCACTTCAGTTTATAGTCCCTATATAACATCAAGCACAATTTAACGATATCCATTTCAACCATTATTATTGAATCGCAATCTAATTTATCCAAATCAACCATAGTTCAATGCCAATCTAATTAATCTAGAAGGATTCTTCCTCAATCAACAATTTTTTTTATCTATGATTATAAACTAGGATAATTGTATCACTACAAGAAAAAATGCTATTAGCGACCGAAAAAATCGGTCGCTAATGGCCAAAATTCGGTCGCTATTCTGTTAGTGACCGAAATTAGCGACCGAAATGGTTGGTCGCAAAAGGGTAAATCGCTAATTTGTTAGCGACCGATTTACATTTCGGTCGCTAAATAGCGACAGATGAGGTGGTCGTTAAAGTGGTCGCTAAATAATTTGGTCACTTATTCATTGAAGACCAAAATAGCGACTGAAATTAATATAATAAATCGATCAGCTAAATCCGTGGTAAAGTTTTAAAAAATAGCGACCGATATATTCGGTCGCTAATATATTAATATAATTATTTAAATAAAAATTAAAATCGGTCAGCTAAATTGGAGACAAAGTTAACAATAATAGCGACGAATATAATCGATCGCTAATATATTAATTGAATTATTTAACTAATAATTTAAATCGGTCGCTAAATTTGAATTGTATATTATAATAAATTTGTAGCGACCAAAAATTCGATCGCTAATCTAACCAAATCTGAAAATTTTTGTTTAAAATTTTGTATATCCAATTTGACAAAATTTGTATCTCGCTTAATTCATCCAAACATAACACAAATGAAAACTTAAAAACTAAAGTCAAATTATTCAAATCATAAAATTTGTACCTGCTTAATTCATCCAAACATAACACAAATGAAAACTTAAGAACTAAAGTCAAATTATTCAAATCATAAAATTTGTACCTGCTTAATTCATCCAAACATAACATAAATGAAACTTAAGAACTTAACAACTAATCAAGATTCAAAGTCTTAATATCATAAAATTGAAAATTAGTCCTCTGGTATATTGTCAGTGTCATGTTGACTTGTAGTAGGATGACTATTCATTTGAATATGTTGTAAAATAAGCTTCATCTGCTCATCTTGTTGGCGTTAGTTGTTCCTCAACTCCTGCATCTCTTCTTCAAGTGCCTTCTCCTTATTATGTTTTGCCACCAATTCAACATTTAACTTTTCAATAGTCTCACGCATTTGTTCAATTTGATGAAGTACTGGAGTTTGAGTAATAGAAGATTGAGAACCTGATGTAGTAGTGAACTTTTTGCTCAATGTACCAAGTCCATACACATTTCCTTTTTTATTTTCACCTCCAACAATTGAAATGTATATTTGATTATCATCAACAGAGACAATAGGAGACTCTTGTGAAGATGAGCCTTCACGCAATTTATGTTGATGGACTTCTTCTCTGCGCTGCATATATTGTTCCTAAAAATGAAGTGAAATATAATTATTATGAAGAAAACATATATTGAATAATAAACTATAACTTAGATGTTAAACATACAACAAGATAACGAGTTTTTTCATTGACCCATTGTCCAGTCTTTAATTTCTTTGTCCTATCAACAACCTCCCAAACGGTTGGTTCCCGTTGAAACTCCGTAGTCTACACATTAAAATGAGACAAAATTCATTACCTAAAGTGTAATATATTGTATTAAATTACTTATATAAAAATATAATAAACTTACCATCTTCTCAAAGTGAGTTGCGAGTAGATATGGAACCCCCACGATAGGTCGAGGCACCCTTATCAACGACTCGATTAGCCTTGGCAATGGCACTCTTGTTTTGGAAATCTGGAGAACTCCAATGTAAGTCCAAAGATGCTCGAGCAGCTGGCGGTATCCAGATTCCCGTATCCTTACCATTCCTAACTTTGTTCATTGAGTTTTTTAAAATTCGAGAACCTTTCTTATCAAAAACGAGATCTTATGGCTTGCTCTTGTTCCACATCCCATATATACTCTTTACGCATAAATAAAATACACAACAAACATTTAATTTATAAGAATGAAATGACATTGTTTAATGTAACTATAATTCAAATTACCTTGAACTCTCCAAACCATCTATCTCGAAGCTCAAGTGAAACCTTTCTCCAAGTGGGACTTGGTTCATCAAATTTTTGTTTGATGATTCTAGAGATTATAGCAGGAGGACCATTTGCTTGGTATAAACCTGTGTTGAAACATATTGTGGGATTGATATTATTAAGAAATTTCATATTAAAGAATTATAATTAAATTAAAACATACTTACTCTCCTTTGTCTCGCTTGTAACCATGGCCTTTGATCAACCATATTTCCGGACTCAACCTCGGTTGCGACCGACCCGGTACTGTGTAGGTTGACCAAATGTCACCTCAGTAGAGAAGGTAGTAGGAATTGTTTCTCCTACTATAGCTACAGGAGATTCCTGCTGAGTTGAGGGAGGTGTGCGTTCTACAAACATAGGATTAGTAGACTCCATGGATCTTGGTCGAACAGAACTAGGAGAGTTAGGGTTGGGTGAACCTCTATCATCAACAAGTACACCTCGACCACCATGATGAGGGAGGTGTACATCCTTCCCACAATGGTGCTTGCGCAGCAGCAAGCATGTCAAAGAATTTTTGAGTATCAGGATCAGGGTTTTCTGCCATGTCCTCTTCTCTAATTTCACTCTCGGTTTGAAGTTGGTATCCAAGTGACGGTCCGACATGATCCATAATCATTTGATGGAAAGGACCTAATTCTTCCCTTTGTTGAAAAGTTCCATGTGATCTCTCAACAACCACTGCAGGAAATTCCGGCGACTCTTCACCATGGTTTGTCCACCAATAATAATTAGGCATGAATCCCTCTTGATAAAGATCCCATGCAACTTGATCAACAAACTTGAAAACTTTACACTTACATTTAACACAAGGACATCTTAACATTTCATCTTGTTCTTGAAACATAGGTTGAACAATAACATATTGTAGGAAATTATACACTCCTTCTCTAAATTCATTTGTTAGATGTTTGTTACCATCCAATCTTTGATACATCCACATT